CACATCTAAAAAAGACCCATCCTCGAGATAAAGATGCAATGGCCAGACATATATGCCTCCTCTAAGGGATAAACAGTAATTTAAAATTATACTACAATTAGCACCTTCAGAAGGTATCAGTCACCCAGGTGGGTGACCAAAACATCCAGACTCATTCCTTCCCCAAAATGCCTTTGTTCTTTCCACGTACTTTTGTGTACCCTTGTTATGCAATCCGATTCCCTATTAAATCAATATTAGCTAAGAATCTATCCTTGTAATCCTATAATGTGATTATAGTTTGGCCCATGTTGTACCCACATCGGGACTTTGCTATATAAATCACACCTATATCTCAAGAGATAAATCTCAATAAATCTTTCCAACCCTTAACCTCCGTTGTCCTTTAAAATTCATCCTTCAATTTCAAGTAACACAAACTCGATATGTCTGACCACTAACAGGTTGGGAGTTTTATTTCTCCTATATCAAAGTAAAAAGTAGTGAAATCCATTTTTTTAAAATTGGCAGAAAACAACCATAAGTGGTTGTTGAAGTCAAGTTTCCAAGATAACTGAAAGTCTAAGAAGAGTCAAAATAAAAGATTAGATGTTGCAACTATATTACCCACTATGGAATCATTTTTAGTCATTTGTGATATTAGAAGCATAGTGATCCTACAACACTCTTTTCAGTCACACACTTACTAATCCTAAGTAGTTATCACTATCTGAACAGCAGAGTTTTTGTCACTGCAATTCAGAGGCGTTTTGTCAAAACAAGCAACTATTGATGTACTAAATCAAAATTATAAAACACTGTTGCAGTCAAGTAATATAGTTTCTGTTCAATTTTTTGAAAAAAAAGATGAAATACAGATGAATTATTTGGAAAACACTATTTTCTGATATTTGGATCACATTAATGGTTCTACAAAAAAGGGAAAACAGTATTCTATACCCTTTTATTTATATGTTGCATTTTAAAAGCTTTTCTAGGATGTGTGCTTAATGGATCAGAGTGCAAGCACTTTTATTGTAATTTAAACTGATTCCTCATCTCATGTGGTTATTTGCCCTGATTTAAAAGTTATGGTCAGGAAAGAAAATTGCTTTAATGGTTGTCATAGCTATTTGTGGAACAGGTGATTTGAATATGTTATCCTGAAGGCTTGTTCCAATTTACAGAATTGAAATGTTCTGCATAGGAGATTTTACTTACATTATAATCTCTACTGACCCAATTTCGTGCTGACTAAATCTAGGTTCAAAATGTAACAGGGCTAAGGATATTGCTCAGTGGTAAAGCCTAGCATGCATGGCTCCCTGGGTGCTCTAGACACACACACACACACACACACACACACACACACAC